ACAATATACAATTTTTTTATACAATAATTCATAATATGACATAGATATACAAGAATTATGTACTCATACATTGTTAGTGAAATAGGAAAATTGATATTTTAGGAAAAAAAAATAATGTTAATTATTCACTTTATGAAAATATTGCCAGAGTTTAAAATTACTTGAAATTAAAAAATATTACTCTTATTTAAACTTTACGAACTGGAAAAAACATATTCTATTATTCAGTATATAACTGCACAAAACATTACATGCAATGTATACCTACAAATTACTGCAATATGTAACGTTTCAATAAAATTGATTAAAACAGATTTATCAAGAAGATATTTCAATAAGAACTGAATCATCATTTTTCAGTATTTCACAAACAAAAGTATATTCATGTTTTCCCAATGATTTACAGTTACTAGTCGTTAATATGTAATTAATGACTAGAATATCTTTGGAAAAAGTATATAAATTCGTTGTATAATTAAAACATTATAGACTTTTTTTGGCCTCTGATATGCTGTATGTACGATCCTTTAAATTAATTACAACTACAGTAATATTGTCAGCCGAACCCCTATATATTTAAAAAATGAATATATAATGAAACAATGACTTAAATTGATATTATAAAAATATGTAATATTGATCTACATTACCTGTAATAGCTTTGTAATGTGATACTTTTTGCACCAAAATGTGGCTCATTTATACGTTCCTTAATGAACGCTACAGCCTCTTCATTTGTGAACGTATCCCACAAACCGTCTGACGCCAGAACAATAAACATTGGATTATGGTCACTAAGATCGAAAGTTAAAATATCTGGATCAGCGATTACTAGTTTCTTATCCTTTAATGGATAGTCTCCTAAAGCCCGAGAAGTTGCTAATATACCCGCAACTCTCCACACACCATTGAATGTTACTAAACCACCAGCTTTATTTATTCTTCTTCTTTCTCTTTCCTGAAAGTTATTCTTACAGTAGGAAATATATTTTATCATGGAGTAAAATAGGTTTATTATATGAGTTATATAATCTATATAAATAAAAATATATACTTGTTGAGGCTTATGGTCAAAGGATAAAGGTATAGCATTGCCTTTTCCATCGCACATTACACCTCTTGAATCTCCAACATTTGCCACAATTAATTTATTGTCTTCTAAAAGAGCAATCAAGGCAGTTGTACCTGTATCATAAATTTTATAGTTATTTTTTAATTTAAGAAAATCTCTATTTCCTACTATTCTTAGTACAAGCAATAAGAAGATGATTACCAGCCACATCCATGTTTTTTTTAGCAGCTTCAACCAATAATCTATCTACTGCTAACACTTCATCAGTTAGTAGTTTACCATAGTTTATTTTATTTCCATCCAAATAATTTGTGATATCTATTTTTGGTGGCTTGTCTGTTGTTCTGCATGGTCTTACCTTATAGTTAAAATAAAGAATAAATTTTTTTACATTCATTTAAGATAGCTATTAATAGTCATCATACCTCTCTTGTAATTGGTCTTTGTAGACTATCCAGTTTATCAAGAAGTTCTGGGTCAGTTACACCACCATTTTTTTTCATACAATCATCTGTTACTGATGTGCTTACGGTTTTACGAAAAGATTTTTTCCGTTCAGGAAGTCCGGTATCACTTTTTTCCTCTTTTTTCTCTGTTTCTTCATCTTTCCTTGTATCTTCTAACACACGTGGTGCTCTGCCAGCTATTATATCTTTTAATTCAATCACCTTTTTATTAATGTTTGGAATAAGTTTATCACGTGCATAGTTCGCTGCAAACTATTATAAAATAAAAATGTATATCAATATTTTAATGTCTGCAGGTAACATATAATTAACATATTGTAAGTATACTATTATTAAGATATTTTATGACACTATTTCATGTAAAAATGATAGTAGTAATGTAATATGTTACATGTATCTTAACTATCTGTTTTGTGGTAGTTAAAAGTTATAATGGTAATAACAAACTACAATCATAAGAATTCTTTTAGAGCTATTTACTTAATATTTATATATTGCTACATTATTAGCTAAAGATATCAATGTATGAAGAAGATAATTCATTAACTTTTTACATGCACTACTTTATTTTCAAAAATATTTTCTGAATGCTATTATAATTCATGATATATCACTTATTAAGTTTCTCTATTTGAACTAAGC